CACACACACACACACACACACAGGGTAGATATGCAGAGTATATGCATTAGATTGATGAACTCCTCAGCCTTCTTGAAGTCATCATCTGTGACCTTTTCAAGTTTTGAGATGAAATTATTAAAGGTGACATATCATGAAAATCACACAAATCTTTCGACCATGTGAAACGGAGTTCCAGCATGTCCTCACATCCAGGACAACAGAATGGTCTGGCAGGCCTGAAACATATAACCCATTGAAATTCATTTGAATCTATTTAGTCTTGCCTGAGTGATACTGAAACAAAAAGGCTTAGTTTTTCACCCAGGATATGCTGCTTCACTCTGGAACATGGTCTCCATGATGGATGATCCTGGATAAATAGGCAATACAAAATACAGATTAGTACAGCCCAAAACACAACAATAACTGACCATTTTCAGCAGCAATAATCAGCAAAATTTGCGAGTTCAATTCGGTTCAATGGCATTGTTATAGTGCTATATAAATGCCTCATTTATCATTCATTTTAGGCTTAATATTTAGAAATGTGCATTGTGCAATAAAGAAGTACTCCAATAAGTACTTTATATCAGTAAGTCTGAAGGGAAAATATGTTAATGGATTTGTACTTAGTATGAAATAAATATATTTTAAACACATTTTTGTGTAGGTTTTTTTTTTCACCAGGGATAACTCTATCAAAACACAGAAAACCTGATTCAAGATCTAATCGTTCTGTTAAAACACTAGCATGTTTTCAATCCAACAGAAACATTTAGTCAGTCGCATCACAATGACCGTCAAAATTCTAAAAGATGGCAGCATTACAAAAACTGCATTACTTGTCATGTTTCAGTTTACCCTTTAATTATTTGGCAAATTTCAAATATAGGCCCTAGCCAGTCTTTTTTCCCCTTTTCCCAAAAAAAGCTTATACACTGTAAAAAAATTTCACCCCTTTCAACTTAAAAATTTAAGGCAGCCACAAAACTTACATTTTTAAGTTAAATCAACTTAAAAGTACAAGTCATTTTAACTCACTAATTTAAATCTTGCCTAGTGCTGAATTGTTTTATTGAAGTTCATTTGACTTTACAATATTTGCTGTTTCAACTTAAGTTAAACATTTTTAACATTAATTTTCTAGTTATGATAATGTAAACTTTATTTTAGATCCAGATAAAAAATACTACATTTGTTTGAAACATTTAAAATTAATTTTTTTCTTGCAGTGCTTATAAACAGGGATAAGAACAGTACACAACCTGCCTGTGTATGCTAATGTGTGAATGCCAGTATATGTATAGAACAAGGGCACAAAAGTAGCAAAAAACTGCCAAGAAACTGTCATACAAAGCTGAAAATACACTCATACCTCTTAGGAAACAACCACTGAGAAAAGCTTGAAAAAAACACACATACACGTCCATTACATTCCTTTTTTTCCTTGAACATTTAAAAGGAGAAAGGTGTCCTGCAGTGCACCATCGTAGTCTTCGTATTAGGAGGCCAGCTTGCACGCCCTTCTTGTGTGTATGAAGTGTCTCACCATGAGCCTTTAAAATTGACAGGGTTCGTACACATTTTTACCAATAAATTTCCATGACTTTTCCATGACTTTTGAGACAATATTCATGACCAAAATGTTCCACTATTTTACAATAAGAATAAAAATCTGTTCAAATTATCATAGCATATGTTGAGAATAATGAATGACTATTAATGCTACTCGTTTGCTTTCTTGTTTTAGTA